AGTTTTACTTTGTTTTCTGTCAGAAATATTCTGCTGAGGGGCAATTCGTCTTCACGTCCCATAAATCTGGTGAGTACCGGATATGTGTGTCATCGGATTCCTCCACCTGGTCCGGCAACAAACATTTGGTAAGTCTTGTGTGACCAGTTTAACTTACCTCTCTAGCGGGTTTACTTAGATATATGGACAGGCGACCACGCTGTCAGCTACAGCGAAGTCGCGAATCGGGACAAACTGAACGAACTACAGTTGCGTGTGCGTCAGCTGTTGGATCAAGTTCAAGGTATAGAAAAAGATCAAAACTATCAACGAGTGAGTGATATTGAATCGGCTTTACAGTCGTTCGTCAGCTCGCAATTTGAAACAAGCATTATTTTCTGCATATCCTTGATCCGAATCTATTCCTGGTGCCTCACTGATCATCCGAAACTTTTTTTGGGTAAACTGGAAGTATTTCTTTCGGACGGCTGCTGTTAGCTAATATGGCACCCTGACTATGGGGTAGTTGGAATGTTTGATTGATCCCTATCTGAATATTTATTTCAATTGTCTGGATATCGGGAATGCATTGACGTGCTTAGGTGGCAATTGATGCGTGGCAACCATCAAGTGGTGTTCTTCCATCCAGTTGAAGCTTCCCCCTAATCAATTTCAAATGTGAACTCAGACCACTCTTGTTAATCAGGATAAGTTGTACAAACCATGACAGAGCGGCTGCTGATAAGGTGTACGGTTCTGATCCTGTACCTTTCGTCGTCTTGGTGAAGTTTTTAACTCCGCCGACCTACTTATCTGATTAGTGCCCGTATCCCCGGAATCCACCCTGTTGTTTCCTGCATAACACGAGTTTCACAGAAAAGTTTAGGTACCTGTGCACTTCTGAAAATATTTTACTCGGAAAATTGAACCGGCCGGTCTTTATCCAGCCCTCTTCGAAGAAGGCAGCGAAACCCTGATGACCTATCTAGCAAGCCTCATCCGGGTGATGTGGAATGAAAAGTGTCTGAAGAATGTGCGTGATGACATTTACTCCTGTTTTCAAAAAGGTACGCGGACGCTGTTTGAAAACCACCG